ATAATAAAAAAAAAAAACAAAAAGAAAGAGTAAATAAGTAGCCTCTGTTTGGGAAGAAAAAGCCCAGGCTTTTTTGGCTAAAATAGCCACAAAAAACAAAATAAGCTATTTTAGTCACAAAAAATAAAATATCAAATCCAACCCATAATCATTACAATCATCTCTCACAAAAAAAGTCAAAAAAGTCAAAAAGCCAAAAAGCCCTTTCCAAACCAGGCTAAAATAGCCAAAAAACCAAAAAGCCAAAAAGTCAACCCACTTCTCAAACGGAGGCTAAATGTATTATAATTTTTTTTTCCTTCACTTTTTTCTTTTATTTTTCCCTTTTAATAATTTCAAATCCAAACACAGCTTTTCTTTTTGTCTTTTTATTTTTTCCTACATCATGGTTTGAGGATATAATTTTTCACTAAAGTTGTCAGTTACACCTCCCATCCAAATCTTGTCAAAACTCATTTACCTTCCAATAGACCCACCAACTTGTTCAAACAGTGGAAGATAATAGAGTTCAATTGAAGCGTTTTCACCAAACTCAAAAAGAGAGAAGCAAAAACAAAAAGGTATATTGCACTTTCTTTCACAAATTTTTAAAAATATACCGTAAACTTAACTTAATTTTATTATTTTTTTTTCCAAATTTTAATTTATAATATAGTATATATTTGTAAAAAATAAAAATAAATTTATAATAAACTTTACGAAATTTTAATAATTAAAATCATATACTTTTCTATGAATTATGGATTATTTTTAGGATAAATTGCACTAACCTCCTATGAAATTTGGTGAAATTGTAGAAACCTCCTATGAGGCTTCTCGATAATTTTTAGATACACTAAGCTCCCCTAAAGTTTAATGAAATTGCTAAAATGATAGAAACTCCCTTGACATTTAGTTTTTAATTACGCTAACCTCCTCTGAGATTTAATGAAATGGCAGAAACCACCTTGAGTTTTAGTTTTTTTATTACATATTATCTCTTCTTTGTCACTTTGTGATAAAATGAATAACATAAAATATTGACATCATCAAGTAATTTAATTACATTTTTTTATTTTACCTATAAAATTGTGTCCAATTACAAAGAACTAAAATATATATATATATACATATAATTCCTATTGGGGTTTTAGATAAAGGAGACCTACATAATCAACAATAATTGCAAGCATAATAAATAGAAAAAACAGAAATTATTTTGCAAGCATAATAAATAGAAAAAACAGAAATTATTAATATTATTATTATTATTGGACACAATTTTATATTTTTTGATAAAAGAAATACACACAATCAACAAATAATTACATGCATAATAAAGAAAAAATAAAAATTATATATTTTTATTTATTTGTAATTGCATATAATTTTAAAGGATAAATTAAAAATATAATTTAATTTTTTAATTATGCCAACATTTTCTGTTATTTTATTTTATTTTTTTACAGTAAAGTAACAAAAGAAAATTTCTATAATAATATACTAAACCTCAAATGATATTTTTTTCATTTTGAAAAATCTTAAATTTTTATTTTTTACAATTTTATTAAATCTCAAAAAAAAAAATAGTATAATGTAAAACTAAACCTCAAGAGAAGTTTTTGTTCTTTCAAAAACTTTAACGCTGTGTTTGGTTGGGGGATTTGAGGAGGGAATTGGAAAGGGAAAGGGAAATGGAAAAGTTAGGTGAAATGTGAATAAAATATACTTACATTTCACCTAGTTTCACACACCTTTTCCCTTTCCCTTTCTAAATCTTCCAACTAAACACAGCATAAGAGAAATTTCTACATTTCATTGAATTAACTTTAAGAGAGATTTTTACATTTCATTATTTCATTAAATTTCATAAGAGATTAATGCAATTGAAAACTATAACTTGAATAAAGAGGTTTAAGTCATTCAATTTCTTATTTTTAAAAGATGATACTGATTTGTAATTTCTCAGAAAAAAAAAAAACAATAAAAAATCCAACCCCCAATACCAAAGACTTCGGAAGAATAAACAAACAAACAAAAAAGAAAAAAAAGGAAAGGTAAATTACACTTCACACCTCTGCACTCGACACCAAATTTCATTTTGATTCCTACACATGAAATTATGTCAGTCAACCCTCTGCACTTCAGGTCAAATCTCACTACGATCCCTATACATGAAATTGTGACAACCAACCTCTATACTTTTGGTAAAATCTCATTTTAATCCCTACATAAGTGTCACTGTCCCCATTTTGTTACTTAATTGTTTAAATCCTTAATAGAATATAATTATGTGATAAGAATGTAACTACGACATGAGAGTAAGAAAAGAAAATTGAAATGCCCCAAAATAAATAACACTAACACATCTCATAGCATTGCTTACAATTGATCAATAATATTGTATCTTTTATTTCATTCATAACTTTGATCTTTACAAAAGATGACATATGCAATATATATTCATAAATCCTAAATTCTGAATCTATAGCATATGACATGATTACAAGAATTAAAGTAAAAGTAAAATCAAATAACTATATGCCCTAATGGCTACAACTTTTCAAGTCGATGCTTGGATACAACAAAATGTGTTTAACTCAATACAGGTAAAGCCTGAGACTTAAACAAAAATAATTACATCGACAAACAAAAATGAAACCCTATGCTCCAAGTTCTCTCAAACTATGTCCTTGGTGGAGGCGTATCATTAGTACTTGAAAGTTGTTTTCCACATAGGGTGAGCCAAAATCTAGTAGAGATACTCAAACACAGCATATGAGTCTTAGCAACATTATAAGGTGAATGCACATGCATGCCATTTGTCAAACATTCCTCGTTTTTCATCTCAAAACAATGCAATGCCAGATTATATATTACTTCATGAAAAATAATTATTTTGTATAGAAAACAAGGCAGTGGATTTAAAACACTGAAAATCTCTACGTACGTGTCTGCTAGTATGCTATACAAGCACTACCAAAGCCATTTTACTAGTACTAACCAGAAGGATTGACACTTAACGACGTAGGTTTCTAGACTTTCACCAAGAACACATAGACCAACATCATAACCATAACCACAACCACACCCCCTAACCAAATTCACTAAGGTATTCACTATTTTTTTTTTCAAAATTAATACATTTACAATATTTAAATGATACTCAATGCACAATGTATGATAAATTAATTTTAATTTAGCCTAATCCTCATGCAATGTCTATAACAATCAAGATTATTCTCCACCAATAGCCCAAAATAGATATTTATATTTAACAAATAATTTTCAATCAAAAGATATAATTTCAACATTTAAAATGGGAGTGATATTACATATCTAACTCCAATATCATCATTAACATAAACATTGTTCCAATCTCATACAACCCAACATCATTTTCCATTTCTTTTCACAAATCCAAATATCCACAATTTAGGGTACAACTCCATTTTCTTACAAAATTAATTTCAAGAAAGAATATCCACCATTTTAACATATTTTACCCATAAACACACCGTACAATCATTTTCAAGAATCCATTTGGAAAACTTCTCTTTTAATTTCAAACTCAAACCCTAGGTTTCTCAAAAAATTCCCAAATCAATAACCGTTTTTAAAGAGCAAATAACTAAGCTAAAAATCATATAAAAGAGTTAAAGAAATCCTTACCTCAAAGTAAAAGACAAGCGAGAACAAGAGTTGAACTATGGTTGAGCTGAAAACAATAAATGCTCTGACTAAAACGAAACTTTCTACGTGCTATACCTTTTTCTCCAAACGACTAGGGTGAAGAGATCAATGGATTGAGAGTATTTAGAGCTAGAAGGTAAGAACGAGAGAGAGAGAGTGAAGATCTAGGGTTATACAATGTTTAGAGAAAGAGAGGGAGGTGAAAAATTGACTGAAAATGGCTTTCTCTCGAACTGATGTACGCACAGACCGCTCGAGCGCAAGAATGGTCGCTCGAGCGACAGATACAATAAATGGCACCGATCGAGCGATCAAAACCACCACTTAAGCAAACAATGACCCCCTTCTAAAAGTTCAGACTTGCCAAAGATCGCTCGAGCTAAGATATCAAACTTCTTGTAGTTTTGCAGACTATAAAAGACTGCTTGAGCTCATGAATAGTCGCTCGAGCGAACAAACAAAATTTTGAGCAATAACTCTTTGAAAAATTAACTTTTCAACCTGTTTTAAACACAACCAAAACTTCCAATAGCCAAACTCCACAAGCAACAACATGAAAATGAGATAAACAACAGTTACGTACATGGGTTCTCGGATCCAAAAGTAAGAACTGGGTCTGGTCTAAACCAAAATCATTATAAAAATTATCTATATTTTTCACTAATACACATTTTTTTTTTCAAAATTTATATCAAAATATGACTGCATTAAATTAAAACAAAACGCAGACTGTGAACAATTAAGAGGATGAACAAAGATTTTGCATAAATTGGAATCACAAAACTTTATTTTTCATGATAATACAATCTTTTATCTATTTTTCTTTCTCTTTGATTTCTTTGTTGCATTGTTTTTTTTAATTTCAAAAGCTCTACTTGCCTTTTCGTTCTAATTTTTACCATACGAACATATATATTGTATTATATAACTTACATGTACTTATCAAGTAGGACAAAATATATTAGTGAAAAATATGAATAATTTTCATCTCTTACACTCATTTCGTAGTTACATTTTTGTCATATAATTAGCTTTAGTTTAAGATTTAAAAATGAAATAACAGAAGAGAAACATTGACACTTATGTAGGAATCAAAACAAAATTTGAATAAACATACGTGCAGAGAGTTGACTATTACGATTTCATGTGTAAAGATTAAAGTGAAATTTGATAAAAAAAAATAAAGAGAATTGACTGCTATGACTTTATATGTAAAGATCAAAGTGAGTTATAGTGAAAATATATAGGAGTGAAAAATTGTAATTTACCAAAAAAAAAAAAAAAAAAAAAAAAAAAAAAAAAATTAGGCACAAGATGTCAAATATTTATAAATTCCATTATATTATTATTTATATATATAACAACGATTTTAAAAAAAAAAAATTCACAAAACTCCACGGTTGCTCTGCAGATTTTATAGAAACAGCCAAACATGACACATGCAGAGCACCACGTGACTAAAGAAGAAGCAGGACCATCCAAGGGGGCTCACTCACTCACCAACTGACCCTTTTTTCCCCATTTTACCCCAACCTTTATTCTATTTTTTACATAACAGAACAAGCATTAGGATTCTCATCACTGAACATCTGTGGAGGGTAATTCTGGTATTCAAACCTCTGTGGGTAAGGGTAGATCTGGTAGTAATTTGGAGGGTAATTGTAGTAAAATTCGTCTTTCCTCATCTCCACCAGTTTCGCCGCCTCTTCTTCTCCCGCCGCCGCCGCCGCCGCCTCTCCGCCGCCGCTGTCTTTCTTCTCCTTGGGTTCCTCCTCGCCGCCCTTCTTCGCTTCCTTGTCTCCGCCGCCGCCGTCGTCCGCCGCCTTCTTCTCCTCCTCTTTGGGCTTCTCTTCCTCTTTCTTCTCCGGCGGCTCTTGCTTCACCACCACCGCGTGCTTCCCTGTTTTCTTGTATATATACTCCACTAGCTTTGGTGGGTCGAACACTCCTTTCACTGTCACTTGTGAGCTTTTTAGATCTGGCTCCACATTCTCAACCCCTGTAATTATAGAAATATAAATAAAAAAATTGAGTTTGGTTTTGTTAAATCATCTCCATCAATTTTTTCATGCAAGTCAAATTTGATGAAAGAATAGCTAAAAATATGTACCACCCATTTCATGGTTTGATGAAAAAATTAGATTAAATTTTAAAAAATAAAATAAAATAATTGAAGATAATTTTCTTTTATTAAAAATAGTTGAAACAAAAATTTAAGAAATACCTTGGAATTTTTCAAAAAGTTATGATGAGAAAAAAGAAAAAGAAAAAGAAAAAGAAAAAGAAAAAGAAATTAGAGATTGTCATGAAATGATGTAAATGACATTGCAAGATTTGGGTAATCAAAAATTAACATAAATAATTTGTTTAAAAAAAGAACGTAAAATTGACATGGATTGAAAGGAATTAGATGGAATCTTAAGAACTGAGTATTTTATTCCAATTAAAGAATGTAGAGATTGTAAAAAGTTAAAGCAAAAACTCTTTTTTCTTTTTCTGGGTTTTGTTTTAAGACATTCAAAACACAAATAATAATAATAATAAAAGTACTTTATGAGAAATGATTAATTAATGAAAAGTGTTCCCCAAAAAATATTACCGTTCATTCTGAGAATCCGTCTTTTGATTTCTTGAGAACAAGCCTCGCAATGCATATGAACTTTGAGTACTAATGTAATCACCTGAGGCTGCAGATCATCAACAACAAAAAAGATGAGAGCTTGAATATATATATATACATATATACATATATTTTTGAGATGATGTGTTGGTTCTGTAATTGATTTCAGGTAAAACAATGAGAACACAAACTGTAACAGAATCAAACACAACTAAAAAAGAAATATAAATCTAACTCAAATGTGAGATTGTTGTGTCCATTTTTGATTTGCGAGTTTTAAACATTTTTAAAGCCAATTCTTAAGCTTGGTTTCGGTTCTGCCATTAATTTGTAGGTATATAACACTTTTTATTTTAAAAATCCCATCCCAGCACAGTACAGTACACAATCCGACTTCAAAAAAATTGTTATACACAAATTAATCATAAAATCAGACGCAACATCTCACCATTATTTTGTGTTGAGTTTTGTGATTATTTATGTAAAAGTAAAAAAACAATTAGTGAACCTCTTGTTTTTTCTCTTCAGGCTTAGGAGCTTCTTTCTCTTCCTTCTTCTTCTCATCCTCCGCCGCGGGCGGTGGTGGGATCGGAGAGAGAAGCTCCACCTTGCGGTGGCTCTTCCTCTGCACCCTCTCCACAACCTTCAACGGATCTGCTTTGTCTCCCTTCACCACCACCTTTTGAGTCTTACAATCTGTAACAACTTCCTCAACTCCTAACAAACCAAACCCAAATAAAAAAATAAAAAAAAAAACTTCAATTACCAAATCAAAATCAAAATCAAAAGATCAAAATGGGTGAGAAACAGAGGAAAAAAATTCTGACCTGGGAAGCCTTTGAGGCATCTGCGAACCTTTCTGGCGCAGCCTTCGCAATGCATGTAGACTTTCAAAACAATCTCTTGCGGCGGCGGAGGTGGCGGCGGAGGTGAGTCTTTGGATTCCTCAGCCTTGGTGGTGGTGGTGTCTTCTTTCTTGTCATCTGCTTTGGGTTCTTCCTTTTTCTCTGCTTTTCCTTCATCTGCTTTCTTTTCCTCCATTTTCTTTTCCTCCTAAACAAACACCAAATAAAATCAGCACCATAACTATAACAAAAATAAATAGTAAATGAATGAGTGAAAATGGGTTAAGAGTGATTTGAAGACCTCTCCCATTTGTGTTCTCTTTCTCTCACCAACCACACACACTTTATGTTTCTGTTTTATTTTCTCTCTCTAAAGTTCTATAGAGTGAGGGGAGATTTCTTGGCCATCAGATCTAGATAGAAATGAGATGAGAGTGTTGCCATATGAGTGACGTGGCTTTTATATATGGGTGGCACGTGCGAATGGGATGGGGTTGGGTTGGGGGAAGAGAGAGTCGAGAGTGGAGAGACTCACCCGACAGATGGTCTCACCCACCGGACGTTACGATACCAGTGAGGGTTTGTATGTGACTCTCTCCCTCTCTCTCTCTCTCTTGTTGGTTTTGGTGTTTAGTCGGATATGTTAGTAAATTTGGCAAAGTACATTTGTGAATTATTTTATTTTATTTTGAAGTGCATTGTGTGAATGTGCATGTGGTTGCATTATTAATTCATGAATTGTTATGGTAATTAATCTTATTGTCATCAAGATGAAGCATATTCAAGTAATAACTTTTGACAGAGCATCCTAGGGCTGTTTTTTTTATTTTTTTTATTTTACTATATGACAAATAAGGGAACATTACATTTTATAATATAATATTAAAAAAATTGTGTCAATTTAGATCATTAACAAATATTCAAGAAATACAACCAGGGTTGGTGGCCTGGTGAAGAATGTGAGGCATTCCACAACCGCGTGCCAGGGTCGATTCTTAGGGGAGGAGTGTTTGAAATCACTTCGGTGAACACGCTCTATAAATCCTCTCGACACTTGTCCACTGCTATGGCGTGTGTTCGCGCTCCATTGGTGCACTGGTGGTAGGTCCCTCACTTGGTGGGAATTAATTCCTGACTGGCAACCGGTTACCTCGGGATCGGGGCGCAACGGAGCCATGATGACACCACAGAACCCTTTTTTTCTTGGTTAAAAAAAAAACAAATATTCAAGAAATCTAACACTGTATACTCATAATCGCAGCTATGTAATATGGAGAAGAAGCAAAATTAATGACTATAATGACGATAGTTTTATATATATATATATAATATAATATTATATATAAATAAAAAATAAATTATAAATGTTATCAAATGTATGATTATTATTATTATTATTTATACCAATTTAAACTTGTTTGATATGATTAAACACGCAAATTATACATACGTTAACTAAGAAAGATTTTTATTTCTAAAGTATATGTAATGCTTCAATTTGATAGTTAGTAGTCTAAATAATAAGTGTTCGCGTTCCATTGGTGCCCTGGTGGTGGGTCCCTCACTTGGTGGGAATTAATTCCTGACTAGCAACCGATTACCCCGATGTCAGGGCCCAACGGGGTCATGATGACACCACAGAGCCCTTTTTTTCTTGGTTAAAAAAAAAACAAATATTCAAGAAATCTAACACTGTATTTCAGGTGACAAAGCGACGTCGTACGGAGGAGCGTGGACTTGGTCAACAGGATTATACGAGGAGAATTATTTCCTCCCTGTACATAAATAAAAAATAAATTATAAATGTTATCAAACGTATGATTATTATTATTATTATTTATACCAATTTAAACTTGTTTGATATGATTAAACACGCAAATTATACATACGTTAACTAAGAAAGATTTTTATTTCTAAAGTATATGTAATGCTTCAATTTGATAGTTAGTAGTCTAAATAATAAGGTGGTGCTGTTTTTATTTTTATTTGTTCATAAATGATATCATGCCGTTGTTTTAAAAGTAAGTAAAATATATTATAATGAATAATTAAACTTTTTTATAATAATCTATAAAATTAAAAAAGATGACTTATTTATTAATATTGAAATTTGATTTAATTCAATAATAATTTTCAAAATAAAACATGAGAGGGTAATTTTTGGTAAAAATTGGGCCGAGCTGTGAGATGGACTTGGTGGCCCAAAATGCCAAGGACTGGGTAAAAGGCCGAAATGTTACTGCGGCCCATATATTTTTACTTAAATAAAAATATTTATGAAATTATTGTTTATATTAAATGAGGAATAAAATTGGGATAACATATATAATTGTGGATAAATGTTAGCTCTTTGTATGAAACTTGATACAAGTCATTGGTAATAAAACTTATTATTGATAATTTTTCTAGTTTGATTGATAATATGTGTGGAGCATTGCTCCAATAATACTTGATAATTTTTTCAAAAGTTAACACGTATTGATCTGTATATGGAAAGATGATTGGTGTATATTACCAAAATTGTTTGGGAAATGTAATTTGGATTAAAATAGCCAATAAAAATAAAATAGGTTAAAATAATTAATAAGATAATGGGTTGTTTAGAGTGTTCTAAATAAGTGTACTTTTTGACTTTTTGGACTAAAAAGTTGAGAAAAAAATATGGTTGTTTGGGTTAACTTTTTAACTTTTTATGAAAAAATGTCTATCAAAAAATTGTATAAATTAGTGTGTAGAGGAAGATTAGGATTGGGAGTTATGCAGTCATACTTTCTGGGCAGTGGAATAAATGAAAATAATGATTGGCTACTTTTCGGGCATTGTACTGGACTATTTTGTTCGACACGTGAGGGCCATCACAGGTCCTATTTTGATAATCTGAACCGTTCAATGTGTAGTACTCGTCGAGTACTATAGGCCTGTAAAAAATCACGTTGATCAGATATCGATAGCTATCTGATCAGATTTGTTTTTTTTCAATTGTTAATTATAACGCCATCTATTTTTTTATACAAAACTGATTTGATCATGAAGTTATCGATATCCGATCAATATGATTTTTTACAGACATATAGTACTCGACGAGTTCTACACATTAATGGTTCAGATTATCAAAACGGGATCCGTGATGGGCCCCCACAGGTCGTGCAACAATGTGTAAAAATTGCACCCAAAGTGTGCAATTTTTCTTAACAAACGCATCAATAGAGCTGAACATGTCAGATTCTGAGTTGTACTAAGTTGAGGAAAATTAATTTTTTAATTTTTTTTTGTGAATAGTGATAACTTTTTAACTTTTTGAATAATTTTTTGACTTTTTGGAGACATGCTAAACTTGGCCAAAATATCACATTCAAATTATAATTATTTTACTTTTTTTCTCATAACCATCAAATCAACTATAAAAAAAGTCAACTATCATCTTAAACATAACTTTTTTAATCAAGCTAAAATAGTCAAAACACTAAAAAAACTAATTAAAATAACCTATTTCCAAATAAGATCTAAATCACCATTTTTTTTTTACTTTCATGTGTAACATGGTAAGCCTTTTATTTATTAATTTAAGTCTTACACATGCACTTAAATTTTTTATTATATTAATATACTCGATAAGTAAAAGAAAAAAGGTGAAATAAAACTGATGATAAATAATATTTCTCAAATAAAAAAATTTAGTTGGTATTCTTATAGCAATGCTCCATTTTGATAATTAATTAACACATTTTATGTTGTCATAAGTCATATTGACTGAATCAATAACTATCAATTTGGAGAAATGCATGAACTTGTTTTAAGGTCTTAAATAATTGGGAAATTGCATTTCAGTTGCAGATTGGGAAAATAATTTTATTTTCACAATAGTGTAAGTTTCTTATGTACATGTGCAAGTTTTTGTGTGTTTTGTATAAATTTTGTGTGTCCGAGTTAGGGATATAAGAAAAATAAAAAAAAAAACCGATCAAATCGGTTGAATCGAACTGGACCGAACCAACTATATTTGATTAATTTTTTCTTAAAATATAAATCGGTCTGTGTAGTTTTTAAATTTTTTTTTTCAATTTTTGGTTTGGTTTGGTATTGATTTAAGCATCTTGTGCACAAAATTAAACCAAAATTGACCAAAAGTTTCTCATATTAAACATAATATATGTTAAATATATAATGAAGTTGGTTGAGTACAAAGTTTAGCTGATTCACTTTGTTTATTTTTCTAAAATATTCTCTGTTTGACAATAGACATTTGCAATGTGATAAGTTATTAGTTTTCTACTCATATATGCTTGAGTCAAGTTTTGCTACTACCATGGTTATATAGTTGTAGCAAATGTTTATGTCGTTTTAAATTTTTTATTTTAACACCAGTTGATAGACTTGTGATTTAGCCTTATGGGATAATGATTTTAAATTTTGGTGTCAAGACTTTGATAGTGATTGGTAGAATTTTAGAATTATGATTTGAAAATAAAGTTGTATTTTGAGTTTGTGAGTTTTGGAATTATGATTTGAAAAGAGAAAAGTTGTTTGGTTATGAGTTTTGAAAAAAGTTTTGAATTTTTGATATGACATATGAAATGAGAAAAGTTGTCTAGTTATGAATTTTGAAAAGAGTTTTCAAAATTTAATTCAAAAATTTATAACTCATAATCAAACACACAACTCAAAACTTTATTAAAAATTCAATTCAAATTTCATAACCAAACTCTTTTTAATTAAAATTTAATTGAAAAAAATAATTCATCATTTTGGTTTAAAAAAATAATTTGTATATTTGAAATATATCAAAAACAAATATAAATTTTTTCCCTCCCAAATAACAAGTGGCAATTGACAATTGCAAAAAAAAAAAAATTATATATATATAATACCATTTCAGTCAACCGATTGGACGACCGACTAACATCCGGGAAGACGACTAGGTAGACCAAAAATTCAAAAATTGTCTGCCTCACCAACCATGTTTTCAAAATATATTTTGTAATTGATTTGGAATCATGATTTGAAAACTCAAACCAAACATAACATACAAATATAAGGGTGAAATTAATTTTCAAAAGCTCTACCAAACACAACCTTTAGTTTTCATATTATAGTTTGTTTCTAATTCTACTTCAGTAAAAGTTTAAAAATTCATTTGTTTAAATTTTTGTGAATGCTTGTATTAGATATTGAAGTAATGTACAAATAGCTAATTCAATATTTTTGTTTAAATTATTTATTGTACTACAATTTTAAAAAGTAACTTAAATTTGAAAGGCCCTAAACCAATTAAACCGTTCCGAGCCGAACCGTTTAAATTGATGTGGTTTGATGAAAAATTCGGTTTGTATTGGTTTTTAATATATTAGAACCAATATTATCAGTTCGGTGTAAAATTTCATCTAAACACCAACTGTTCCGAACCGATTACATCCTTCTTGAATAAAAAAACTTGCATCTATATTGTAATTATTTTAAAACTATTCCACCTATTTGTAATTTTTTTTTTTTCAAATAATTTCTCTTTATATGTTGTATGATTTAAAAATTGATACATGTGTC